CAAAGCTCGACCAGGATTCTGACAAAAAAGAACAGACTTTACATAATTCATGCAGTTTTCATTTTCATTCAATAGAATAGTCCAGAAAAAGGGTGCAAAAACCTACACGTGACATTTTGGCGCGAAATAATAGCGTCACCCCTTACCTAGAAGACAAATGGACTAATCCAGTAGTATAGAAACGCAGAAAAAAAGGTCAAACGGACATATATCCGTATAAGAACTCGCATGAAATTAATATATGCTAGCTAAAGGCTAGAGAAAATAAATACTTCAATGTATTGTATTAGCAATATGTTTATTTTTCTGCTAACAGAATAGATAACTGTCGTTGCTGAAATGCATGTAACAAATCCGATGATAATCAGCATGCACAAAATTTTGCTGGCCAACTGTGACCTCTTCGAACCCTATTGATCCTTAGCGTGACGTCAGGCAATAAAAGGCTTGAGTTTGAAGAAATATTTCAAAAACTTTTCGGCAATAAATATACAGTTATTACTAGCTTACTCTAAAGTCTTCTATCGTACATATGTACACTGTAAAAACTGCGTTTAGAAAATAAACACATCCATTACGTGTTTAGACCTAAACATGTTTAAGATTGTGTTTAACGGCTAAACACTTATGTCTAAACATGTATTATATCTAAACGTGTTTAGACTTAAGATGTGTTGAGATTTAAGTTTTTAGAAATTGAACACTTTCTGTGACAAACAGAGTTATCTTCCCGGAAATGACGCGTAATATTTTTGAACGTTAATAGAGCGGTTATCGAAACAAAGAAAATTCCAGTGTAAGCAAAAGAAGATGGATTAAAGGAAGCGAATCATAACCAAAGTTATAACCAGGATGGGATTGTGAAATGCAGTTGAAAAGCAACAATACTACAATAAAAGGTCTGTTTACTTTAGTATTTTACATAAATTGACTAGAATGAGAAACGTTGCAATTACACAAATGTATAGATCAAGATTTCCTTCTTTTATTTTTGCATTCCTGAAAGCTAGAAAGGAGTTTATATTATAGAATGTCATTGAAAATACAGGGTATATCCGTATCAGTATCATATATACATAATTGTTAAAGGGATTTCAATAAAGGTTGCATAATATTAGTTAGTTTAGCTATCAGTCAGCAAGAGGCATATTTTTGTATAATTTCATTTCTTTATAACAGGATATGGTCCAGATTGAAGCAAAATTACACGTCTATTAGTAGCTGGTGTTATTTCCAAGTCCACGCAATTGTTGGTACATCTTCAGGATTTCTTGCATTTAAGAGGAAACTGCATTTTGTGAAGTATACTGTTCGGTATATTTTTAAACAACTCCAAAACATTCGTATGATGGGAACGGATTCTTTTCTGGCAGTTATGGACGAAAACATATGATCGTGTGTTTCTAGTGAAAGACTTGCAGAAAATTAATTAGCTTGATTAATTTTTGTTACAGACATGAGGAATAAGTGCATGCTTGCTGAGCTGATTAATATTGACACGAGCCAAAATACATTTTTAGTTTTTAATCTATATGTATTTTGAATTTAAAATTCTTCAAAATAAATCTATGTTTGAATGTTCAATAATGTTATGGTATTTCTAGGAAATTTATTTAAAAAATGTTTTTCTTCCAAAAATATATATTCCTGTGATAGTTTATAAAATAAACTATTCTGTTGGATCTAATGTTGTGGAACTAAACATGTTTAGCAACTTAACACTTAAATATTGATGTGTTTAGAAATGAGACGCGTTTAGGGCTAAACGTGTAAAAAAAGTGAAACAAAAAATGTGTTTAGATATAAGTATTTAGGGGTTAAACATGTTTAGCAACTAAACACATAAAGTCTATCCTGTTTAGAAATGAGACACGTTTAGATCTAAACGTGTAAAAAAAGTGATACAAAAAATGTGTTTAGATTTGTGTTTAGATTCTAAACACTGTTTTTACAGTGTACTAGCGTACTCTGTTTAGTAGGACCAGTTTTTTCAGTGGGTGGTTCAGTACAACTCTCCTGTCTGTTATTTTTTTTTCTGCAGCTATACTGTGTATGAAGTTTGATTATTTTTAAAAATATCTTGGTTAGTTTGTTTGAAACTGAGCTTTGAACTTAGCTAAAGGCAAAGTGTGACGGAAGGAGATAAGGCAGGATGGAAGACGTCCGACATGACAAACATTATATCCCAAGCCATATTCATGGCGGGGCATAGAATGATTATTGGTTTAGATAAAAAAAAATAGGTTGTGACTTTCTTTCGGAATTCAACACCAGCCTTAATCTACATGTATATACGCATGTACAAAAACAAATCAACCAACTAACATTCTCGGCTCAGAAGGAAGACATTGTATATTCATTTTAAACATGTTAAAGGGGGGGGGGGGGACTTATGAGTGATGAGAGGAAATTTAACCACGTGTCGGTCCATGAAACATGAAAGATTATTTTTGGAATGTTTGTATACAACAGCGTGGCTTTCTTTGAACTAAATTAGAATTTATTGAAATATTTAAAAATAATTCTTTCAGGGACGCCGTGATATATTTGGTAGTCTCTGTAATAACTGTTCGGATATAGCACAGGCCTTTAGATCGCTTAGAAAAAAAAATTGAGGTGTTGGAAAAAAAATATACACAATTTTTTTTCTAAGCGATCTAAAGGCCTGTGGGATATAGTGTCTTTTGAAGGTACAACACCTTTCTTTTAATATTACCAAAGGATTTGCTGATCCTTTTTTTTCGTATAGTCGAAATACATGGGAGAAGGAAAAAAAACATATGTGGATTAATCAAATACAAATTGATGCGTTGTGTTTTTAATCTAAATACTAGTAGACACATTTTTTTCTTCTCGTTTTCCTTTTTTGTAAAATGCCGTTAGCTTTGTTTAAAAACTTTTTCCTACGCGTTACCAATGTGAGAAGAGAAAAAAGACGTCCTCAAACGATTTATTTCTAATGATGAAAACACCGAATGACAATGAGGATAATTAAGGTGAAATTATTTACTGAGACCCTAGTATCTACATATCATGTCACCAACATTAACAATGACTGACCGGGAGGACGTTTGGTAAAGAATTAAAATTGATGTTTTATCGTCGAGATACTGGTTAATGATAAATAGCATTAATGAATTTTCAATTTTTTAAAAATCGTATTCTTAAACTCTGGATGTATATATTTTGGCCGTTATTCTAGGCAAAAGTGCATCCATGTGTATTTATACTGACATCGACTGAACATGTACAAGCATGTCAAATCGTGCAATGTTGAGATATTCTGTTTATTCAACGAAAAAGTATATTATTTTTGTACAATAACATTTTAAAGTTTAGTAGCAAATAACTGCATACTCAAAAGTGCTTAATTTAACGTTGGATGTTTTCCCGTGAATTAGAAACGTCACCTCCACTTACAACTACCATGCATGCGTACATGTAAGTTTAATATTCATAAAACAATATCCACCTCGATAAAAACAGGGGGGGGGGGGGGGTGTTGCAAACCAAGCTAGTGTTTATTCGGCTATCAAAATACATAAAACTTACAATGAATAAATGTACAAGCGATTACGATTGATTTAAACAAGCTGAAATAGAGTGAAATGAAATGATATGAAAGAAACGACATATTTTAAACCCAATTTTCCATTTGTAACTATCGGAGTACACAATGGATTTTCATATATGCCCACTGTTCTCTGCAACCACGTGCTTGTAAACGAGGACCGGGAAACACAACTTTAGAGACAAAGTTGGATATAACCTGTTTGCTATACCGGTATTACAAATACGTGAACAATAGTATATTATAAATTACTTTTTATGTTCAATGTTTATTTAATCTTTAAAAAATGATACCCCGGTAAATGGAGAAACAAAAGAGTGATCATGGTAAAAATAAAACGTACATATACAATATTACCTATCACTATCCATCACTAATTATAATTATTTGCCGAAGCCCCTTCTCAATTACAATTGAAATAAAATACATTAACACAGAAAAGAGTTTTTTTATTTTGCGAGAACAGGCCAAAGAAAGCGAACACAGTTCAAAATGATTTTATACACCAGTGTTTGGAATTACGATTAAATATGAAAGATGGGTAAAATAATCTTATTGAATCGCGATGTAATTAAGAACACAGTTTTCTATTAATTGTTAAGTCTTTCTACACAATGGTCTAATACAATCACAAACACTTGCTTTGTTTATTTTGCGAGAACAGGCCAAAGAAAGCGAACACAGTTCAAAATGATTTTATGCACCAGTGTTTGGAATTACGATTTAATATGAAAGATGGGTAAAATAATCTTATTGAATCGCGATGTAATTAAAAACACAGTTTTCTATTAATTGTTAGGTCTTTCTACACAATGGTCTAATACAATCACAAACACTTGCTTTGTTTATGTCCACAGGTGCCCGGTACACTCGTGACCTAGATCGACAACGTGGGATTTGCGGCTTTGATTACATAACTGAAAACATCTCGCTGAACAATGGGATCGTAATATGTATACAACTAATGATCGTGAATTATTCAATGTATAAAGTTTAAGATTAATTATATAGTTTGTTACAATGATAAACGTAGAAAGGTAGATTTTATATCTTCCGCTTTTAAAGACGGGTTCACAATAAAACTAATTAAATTTTATAAAGAAAAATAGAAAAAGTAGTTGTAATACATGATTTAATACCAATTCTACGTAAATATCAAAATGAGGTGGCCATGCGATGTCTTCGATTCAGCTAATTTTTTTCTTACTGAAACTTCAATGAATGAAAAGATTGACTATATGAAAGAAAGCATGGTAGTTTATCCGGTTGCCATGGAAACGGGACTAGAAGGTGTAAATTATAGTGGATTTTGCTATTTATCAATAATATCAAAAACGTATTTACTAGACAAAGCTGTTTATGTTCATATTTTTTTATATCCTTCATGACAATCAAAACTATGTAAAAAAAATAGCCAAGGTCACAAAAATTTTACAATTTCTAATTTTCTGATGCCCAAAAAGTGAATAATTAGTCCTCGTTACCTCCCTTGTTAGACTTAATATTTAAAGACTTTGACAAGTGATGTGAAAATTCTAGTAGGAAGATTTAGATTCAAGAAATGTTATTTTGCAAATATCATTTAAAACATTTATGGGTAAATGAAAAATAAACGTTTTATTACACTATAAAGTTGGTCAAAATGTGCTTTTTCTCTATCCGAGTTATTTCCCTTGTTGGAGCTCTTCGGCATTGAAGAATAGAAAATGTGTAAATTGTAAACAAGATGGCAGACAATGAAATCTGCAGTTTTTCTTCTTGTTTTGAAACATCTTGTTCAGGAAAATTCTACCTCAAGAGACTCAGAATTTGATGAAAAACAGTTGACAAAGTTGGGATAATCTTTAAGAAAAGCCAAAGGGTTGATCTGGACATGATGAGTATTAAACGTATAGCTACTCGTAGAAAAGAAAAGATGAGGAAATCAGGGTGGTATGGGGGCGAAGGCCGAGAGGATTTAAGCTGTTCCCTTCAAGATGTCTTTGAAATAGAGATCGAGAGATAAATGTAGTGGTGTGGTAGTCTCCGACCGATCCCGATTACAATGTGTAAGTATTTTTTTTATTCATAATTCTATTCAGGTATCACATGTACCTGCATGGTAGCTGATAATCCGAGATTCCTCTGACTCTAACCCCCGCTTTTATATTGTGACTTGTGCGCACAAGTATAATGAAATATAAGACAAAAAAAAACAAACAAAACCATGAAAACTTGGATGCACAGTTGCACATATTACATGTACATGACATTGAATCAAATACTACTGTGCAATATATGTGCCCGTTTTGGGTACTGGTATTTTATTTTCTATAAAAATCAGTACATATTTGAAGAAAATTGTTTGTATGAATTTATTTTTCCAAATTATAATATGCTTGTGTCCAATCTATTTTTACAAACAGGATTTGTAGAAATCATACCTCAGAAATATTAAACCTTTGACTTATGACAATGATAACTGAATAGTGTGTTAGATTTTTTGAAATTTTAAGCAATATCAGGACTGTAGAATATTTTAAAGAATTGATTAAAAAAGTGTAAGTGTAAAATTATGAAAGTACATGCAGACATCCAGATTTACAGATGCTAATAGTGTTCAGATCTAAGTACATATAATTTGTCATACTATTGTGAAATCATTTTTGGGACCTTGATACAATGAATTTATTTGCTCTGCAAGGTGATGTATTGTAAAGTAGGAAAAGAAATATATCCAAGGGTGTTAGAATATGGCAACTCCATTTGTACTTTCCAAGATGCAGCTTTCTGTCTCATAATTTTATTTTACTGATCACTGTTTTTCAGCTATATATTGCAGGCATATCAATCTTGCACACATTTTAAATATGAATAGTTTTAGTTTGACAATATTGATCTGTACAGATAAGATCATTCTGATGCTGTGTACTTTACATGTCAAGGACATATTGTACAAATTAAAAATAGTCGCATTAAAGAAGAAAATAAATTATACCACATTACGTTAGTATCCATAAAACATGTATGTTTTATTACAATTAATTTATGATTATATAGATACATTTTATTTTCCACTTTAGAAATTAATTGTTGTCAAATTCATTTCTACTCTTAGTTTCTATATCTCAGGCAATTTGTCCAAACTGCAGAAAAGCTTTATATGTAAATTGAAAAAAAAAGCTTGATGACAACATTAAATTCACTCCTTTATCAATCATTCCTCTTGATTCAGAAAATTTTCAGGATAACATGTAATTATTAGGTACATGTAATATATATATGATGTTCAGGATTTTAACCCAAACTTTCAAATTAAAAAATAATTTTAAATTGATCATTGCAGCACTTGCAAGATTTTCCTAATGAAGATTCTCAGGATTACAGATCTTCTAGCAAGGAAACCACACAGGTACATGTAGTGTGTATTAAGTTGCATGGATTCATGGTGACTTAAGACATGATTGCCACAACAATGCATAAAGGGAGATAATAATGTTTATAGGTTGAAAATGTATATTTTTTATATATAGCAAATTTTTAAGATTCCAGTTTTAAGTTTTTGAAACAATTTTAAATGTATTTTTATCCAAAGTGACCAAAAATTAATGTTATTTTTTTATTTTCATGTGAACAGATAGAGATGACCAGAGCAGAGGACATACACCCCCCCCCCCCCCCAAAAAAAAAAACAATATACAGTGGACTGGAAGTAAATTTTACATGAAAAATACAAAGTAGGAAAAATAACAGAAAGAAAAGATGATCCAGTAAAAGTTGTCACTGGTGCAAGATGGACATAGAGATGGTTTTCTAATGGTCATTACTCATTACTAAAATCCACAGCAAATCAATACTGCAAGGCTGAGCTACTTTTCAAACTTACACAAAAGGACATAAAGAAATGTGAATTCGAGGAAACCAAGCTTACATCAAATGAGAGAATATGAAGGAACAAATTTTAGCAAAATTTTTTTTTTAAGCAGGGCATCTGTTTTCCTTAGAGAATATGTGTATTCTAAATTGATTTCTTGTATTTTCAAAAAATGTCACTGTTTAAGTGAAGCATACATTCCAATTTATGTCTTGTTTATTTTTTTCTAGAAAAGCAGTTTTATGCAAAGAAGCAGTTTCTTCCCTTTTTATATACACTCTCTGCAGGAGAGGTGGTATACTGATTTATTATATACCCCCACATGGGCTCACAAATTTAGAGTTTTATATTGGCAGGCTTCACACAGTATGTTATGGATGATTAGAATATATATGAATACATTTTAACAAAACTGAGAATAAGATTAATTGTGAAACACTGATTCCCCCATACATTGCAGCTTATGTCAAGACTCCCACGAGGTATCCCAAGAAAGGTCTTGCCACAAGTAAAACACTTGTGAAATATGAAAATCTAGTCCAACTTCAAAAGTTGTGGTTCTTAGGTTAAAGTTTTTTTAAGTCGGTCAATGTCTAAGGTCAAAGTCAAATGGTTAAAAATATTTATACCCATTAAAAGAACATAGCATACATGTAACTGATCATCTGAATATGCTGATAAGCAATGTGGTAATAAAAATTAATTCCACAATATTTAGCATATAAGGTCATTTAAACAAATTTGGCTGCCTTCCCCCAACAGACTAACTAAAATTCAAAACTTTTTTTACATTGCAAGACAGGATGGTTTTCTTTTTTATCCATCTTATCTCGTCAACAAATATTATGAAATTTTCTGGGAAAAAGATTTTACAACCTACCTAACGAGGCGACTTAATAATTTTACCCTGAGCTGGGAGAGGGCAAACAAACATTATAATCAAGATGGTCTTGCCAACTTGTTTTGACATTATATTGTCTGACCTACTTTCATATTTTCATAAAATACTTTCATATCATTTATTAAATATGAGTTTGCCTTTTTACTTTAATTATACATTTTAAAAAATTAACCATAAAACAATTGTTTTGAATTTGAACATATTTTAGTGAATAAATCAAAAGGATTGGACACAATTACAGGCCATTAAAAGATTTGTAAGAATTTTTGGAAACTCACTTGTTTTATTTCATATTTAGATTAAAATAACTAGAAGCCTGATTTGTTTCCATGGCAACATTTTATTTTACCTGTCACTGAGTTAATTTCAGAAGTTCTATTTAATTATTGAAAAGAAATTTAAATACTTGACATATATTCATACTACATAACAATTTGTTCAGTTTGGTAAAACATGTTCTTAGATGATCTTCTCTGTTATTTGTGATTAATGGAGGGGGGGGGGGTTGTTCATGCAATAATTTCTAGAAAGCTGTACATTTACCCATTAATTTATTAATTTTTTTTAATTCTCACAAAACATTAGAATATTAAGTTTATTTAATGATACATGGTTACAAATATATCGGTTGTCAAAATGGTGAAAAATTTCATTGAATATGACTAAAAAAATCAATTTTGGCAAATTGTCAATTTTCATGCAATAATTTCTAGAAAGTTTTTGATTTACCCATTAATTTTTTTTATTCTCACAAAACCTTAGAATATATAGTTTATTAAATGATACATGGTTACAAATATATCAGTTGTCAAAATGGTGAAAAATTTCATTGAATATGACTAAAAAAGTCAATTTTGGCAAATTGCCAATTTTCATGCAATAATTTCTAGAAAGTTTTTGATTTACCCATTATTTTTTTTTTATTCTCATAAAACCTTAGAATATATAGTTTATTTAATGATACATGGTTACAAATATATCAGTTGTCAAAATGGTGAAAAATTTCATTGAATATGACTAAAAAGGTCAATTTTGGCAAATTGCCAATTTTAATGCAATTATTTCTAGAAAGTTTTTGATTTACCCATTAATTTTTTTTATTCTCATAAAACCTTAGAATATATAGTTTAATTAATGATACATGTTTACAAATATATCAGTTGTCAAAATGGTGAAAAATTTCATTGAATATGACTAAAAAAGACAAATTTGGCAAATTGCCAATTTGCTAACAGCCTTAATGCTGCAATGAAAATTCGCTAAATCTTCATTCAAATATCTTTGAATGAAATTAATTTCTTAGATTTAAGTAATATGAGCTCACATAATATAATTTTCATGTGAATTTTTCTAATTAATTGAATGTGCACAAATTTAATTTAAAACAGAGTAAAATTTGCTTAATCAGAGGGTTCTAAATATAACATCCCTGTTACCATGGCAACCAAATTGAAAAGTTAGACTTTAACATCATATTTATTAAAGACATACCAATTGTAGTAAATGGTGTGAATTTCAGCTAAATCGGAGATATGCCATGTCCACGACCCTATTTAAAATTTTGATTTTTATAGAGAATTGATATTAATAGTTAATCATAAAACACGTTTAAAACCTTATTTTGAAGAAAATCAACATAAAATACCGTAGGGTATATTATTTACAGCAAGTTGTACACATGATGAGGTCAGATTTACTTGCCGAATGAAAACGCTACATGTTTACCTGACCTGCTTTCGACTGCATATTATGCAATAACCCCGGTATATAGTCTAGTCAAATTATCAAATTTTCCATCAAAATGTGAACTAATTGCAACAGTATCAAAACTTAGTTTTAATCAATCTATGATATGGTCTGAATATATAACGAAAAGTTTAGAAATATTTATACATGGGAAAATTGAAAAATTGGGGTCATTATTGGGACATATTGTGTTCACTCTGATTAAGTGTTAAACGAACAATGTAAAGTAGAGACTTCTATACTGGTTAAAAAAAACATGTTAGTAGGGAAATAAACTTAACTGAATAAACTGAATTGGTAAAATATTAAATATTGGTCACTATATGTGTTGGTTGCCATAGAAACAGTATAAATTGAGAATATCACCTACTTTTGAACAATGAACCTTTACAAACACGAATACAGTCACTACGTTAGTTTACACGCATATTCAAAATGCATTCTTTTGCCATAAATGCATCAAAGAAATTATATAGAATATTTATGTAAATAGGTGGTAACCATAGATACATTATAAATGAATTTTACATGAAAAATGTCGGTATTCAGCAATGCTAAGTATAGCACAAATATACTCAATCACCAAAAGTTAAGAAACAATAAAAATGTTTTAATTCTTATGAAAGGTAATATCCGAAAATAATTAGGAGCAGATTTAGAGGGGTCAGGGGACAACCCCCAATAAGAATTTTTTTTGATGAAAAAGTAGCAGCTAATGCCCCCCCCCCAAAAAAAGAAAAAAAAACTGAATCCCTCCTGTAACTGGAAGGTTTTCCCCGTATACATGTATGTAGAAAATTGTGAGAAGATCTCATAGAACCCCATTCCTCCCCGAAATAGATTTATATGTTTTTATTCTGGATTAGGTAGGTTGTTAATTTTTTTGTGTCAAACAATATTCTGAAATCTGAAAAAAAAATTTACGCACAGCAAAGCTGTTCCCCATAGAATACATTGTAGTTGTGTTGTCCACCCTTCAGAAAATTTTATTTCAACACGTGACACCAGTTTTGAGTCCCTGCAATATGATTGGTTGGTAACTTGTATAAAATGTTCAGAAATAAAAAAAAAAATACTCTGTTTACATCAGTATCTTAAAATGCTTGTTCACTATAATATCTTCCGCTTTTAAAGACGGGTTCACAATAAAACTAATTAAATTTTATAAAGAAAAATAGAAAAAGTAGTTGTAATACATGATTTAATAGTTAATCATAAAACACGTTTAAAACCTTATTTTGAAGAAAATCAACATAAAATACCGTAGGGTATATTATTTACAGCAAGTTGTACACATGATGAGGTCAGATTTACTTGCCGAATGAAAACGCTACATGTTTACCTGACCTGCTTTCGACTGCATATTATGCAATAACCCCGGTATATAGTCTAGTCAAATTATCAAATTTTCCATCAAAATGTGAACTAATTGCAACAGTATCAAAACTTAGTTTTAATCAATCTATGATATGGTCTGAATATATAACGAAAAGTTTAGAAATATTTATACATGGGAAAATTGAAAAATTGGGGTCATTATTGGGACATATTGTGTTCACTCTGATTAAGTGTTAAACGAACAATGTAAAGTAGAGACTTCTATACTGGTTAAAAAAAACATGTTAGTAGGGAAATAAACTTAACTGAATAAACTGAATTGGTAAAATATTAAATATTGGTCACTATATGTGTTGGTTGCCATAGAAACAGTATAAATTGAGAATATCACCTACTTTTGAACAATGAACCTTTACAAACACGAATACAGTCACTACGTTAGTTTACACGCATATTCAAAATGCATTCTTTTGCCATAAATGCATCAAAGAAATTATATAGAATATTTATGTAAATAGGTGGTAACCATAGATACATTATAAATGAATTTTACATGAAAAATGTCGGTATTCAGCAATGCTAAGTATAGCACAAATATACTCAATCACCAAAAGTTAAGAAACAATAAAAATGTTTTAATTCTTATGAAAGGTAATATCCGAAAATAATTAGGAGCAGATTTAGAGGGGTCAGGGGACAACCCCCAATAAGAATTTTTTTTGATGAAAAAGTAGCAGCTAATGCCCCCCCCCAAAAAAAAGAAAAAAAAACTGAATCCCTCCTGTAACTGGAAGGTTTTCCCCGTATACATGTATGTAGAAAATTGTGAGAAGATCTCATAGAACCCCATTCCTCCCCGAAATAGATTTATATGTTTTTATTCTGGATTAGGTAGGTTGTTAATTTTTTTGTGTCAAACAATATTCTGAAATCTGAAAAAAAAATTTACGCACAGCAAAGCTGTTCCCCATAGAATACATTGTAGTTGTGTTGTCCACCCTTCAGAAAATTTTATTTCAACACGTGACACCAGTTTTGAGTCCCTGCAACATGATTGGTTGGTAACTTGTATAAAATGTTCAGAAATAAAAAAAAAATACTCTGTTTACATCAGTATCTTAAAATGCTTGTTCACTATAATATCTTCCGCTTTTAAAGACGGGTTCACAATAAAACTAATTAAATTTTATAAAGAAAAATAGAAAAAGTAGTTGTAATACATGATTTAATAGTTAATCATAAAACACGTTTAAAACCTTATTTTGAAGAAAATCAACATAAAATACCGTAGGGTATATTATTTACAGCAAGTTGTACACATGATGAGGTCAGATTTACTTGCCGAATGAAAACGCTACATGTTTACCTGACCTGCTTTCGACTGCATATTATGCAATAACCCCGGTATATAGTCTAGTCAAATTATCAAATTTTCCATCAAAATGTGAACTAATTGCAACAGTATCAAAACTTAGTTTTAATCAATCTATGATATGGTCTGAATATATAACGAAAAGTTTAGAAATATTTATACATGGGAAAATTGAAAAATTGGGGTCATTATTGGGACATATTGTGTTCACTCTGATTAAGTGTTAAACGAACAATGTAAAGTAGAGACTTCTATACTGGTTAAAAAAAACATGTTAGTAGGGAAATAAACTTAACTGAATAAACTGAATTGGTAAAATATTAAATATTGGTCACTATATGTGTTGGTTGCCATAGAAACAGTATAAATTGAGAATATCACCTACTTTTGAACAATGAACCTTTACAAACACGAATACAGTCACTACGTTAGTTTACACGCATATTCAAAATGCATTCTTTTGCCATAAATGCATCAAAGAAATTATATAGAATATTTATGTAAATAGGTGGTAACCATAGATACATTATAAATGAATTTTACATGAAAAATGTCGGTATTCAGCAATGCTAAGTATAGCACAAATATACTCAATCACCAAAAGTTAAGAAACAATAAAAATGTTTTAATTCTTATGAAAGGTAATATCCGAAAATAATTAG